TATTACTCCAATAAATCAAGAGTAACAATGGCCAGGAACAAACTCCCATGCAATCTTGTTAAAGCAGATTCACTTTAATTTTTATGAAAAGCTTGTTGAGATTCTTGGATCATAAAACTACAGTATTAGCACATAACATGGACAAACTGATCACAAGAACCTCCTATCGTTTGTGCTCCAAAAAGACGATTCCCAATTCTTGTATGAAGAACTCTGTCTTTTAGTTTTCATTCTAACCGAGTTAAAAACTTTTTCCAACTCTTAGAAAGTCAGAAAGGGTGTGTAATTAGCATAAACTCTGAAACAACCCCTGGATTTCACACCTACTCTCATCGAGGGGTGTTGAATGTAACAATTACTCTTTTAGTGGAAGTGTAATACCATCTACCATCTCATTCTAGACATTACTAATTGACCTGTTTCAAAAGAAATAAGGAAGCAGCTACTTCATATTCAAGCTGGGGACAGACTGGAGTTCTGTTTATATACTCTTTACAACAAAAATAGTTGAAGAGCATTTCTGAAACCAAAGGCAGTATGCAAAATACTGGGAAGAAAAAGTTTCAATCAATCAAGATGTTTAATTACAGATAATTTTACTCAGCAATCGACAACTGAACTGGAACATAACCAAGAAGACACAGAAGTACTACAAGACCAAGAATGAGAATCAGCATCTTAAGGAGGCAACTGGTCTGACAAGCACAGCTAGTTCTTTAAGGTCACTCTGAAGGATGTAAGGGAAGAGTCAAGCAGAAAATATTAGAGTTCCAGAGTAGGGCACAAAATGAAGATCAATTTTTAAGAATGGGTTTAATGAGGGCATTCACATGGGTTTTCTATACTTAAACGAAACATGGTCATTACAGCTTCGGTTTCACATTTGGCATAGGTAATAAATTGCATTTTGAAATAATGATTCACCCATTAGTTTTAATTAGGCTTGCTCTCAGAAGGAACACTTTGTGGAATTCACAGAAAGCACTGAGATTATGGATTCACTCATGTAGTTACTGTAGCTCCCGATGTATAAACAGCATATTTTTGTCAATGTTCACACACACAAAAAAAGAGAGAAGATATAGGTGCAAACAAAGACAGTATCATATTTACATGACAGGCAGTGGCATGAGAACAGATTTTTTTTCCTATCCTCAGCCAAAGATCCAAACATGTGCAGGAAAAGAACCACCCTTCTTCCTATCCCTGAAAAGAAAACAATCAGCTGGGCATCCCTTCCTAGTATGTATGGGAAAACAACCAGATAATTTGTGTAGATTGTTGAGGCATTGCTTTTAATTTGGATTTGCCCCCATTAAAATATGCTAATTACTAGGTACTCACTGCAGAGCTGTGTGAAACCTGTTATCCTAGAACCTCAATCTCCTAGAAAAAAAGAACTTGTTTCCAAAACAGAAAGGAGGGCTTTGTAAATGCACACACACTTTGCAATGGCAGCAAAGGAATTCAGCAGTCAAAGTAGTTGCATACTCATAGGTGTTGCCATATAGTTCTTACAAATGAAAAGTCTAAGGATCACCGATATTCACTCCTGGTCCAGCACGGCCACTGTATCTTATGTAGGGGTGTACAGTGCCTTGCGAAAGTATTCGGCCCCCTTGAACTTTTCAACCTTTTGCCACATTTCAGGCTTCAAACATAAAGATAT